CCGTAAAACGGAATTCTATTTCCGGTAATGAAAGAGTTTTATAAATCCCGAAATCATTATAAATAAGTTTTTTGTTCAGATGGTTTTTTCCAGTAGTGAAGACACTTGGTTAACAAATAAAAATTCAAAAAAAAATTTGAAAATACACGGACTAAATTACAATTCTTTTACAACATCAATTTACGAATGCCAAATATTATTTTTACTGTAAAAAGATTTAATATTTTAGCATCGATAAATTGAAAAATACCTTATCATTAAGAAAGATGTGCGATTTTCTTAGCATACGGAAAATGTGTGATAAAAGAGCATTTCTTGTTTCCGAGGAAACTGGAAGTTTTGGAAAGACGAATAACAAAAAGTATGAAAGAACGAGGAGCTTTAACCAATACTTTTTCAATTAAAAGGCATTTTTTCACAATTCTTTAATCCCTTTTCTTTTTAAACCATTATTTATTATTATTATTATTATTATTATTATTATTATTATTATTATTATTATTATTATTATTATTATTATTATTATTATTATTATTATTATTATTATTATTATTATTATTATTATTATTATTATTATTATTATTATTATTATTATTATTATTATTATTATTATTATTATTATTATTATTATTATTATTATTATTATTATTATTATTATTATTATTATTATTATTATTATTATTATTATTATTATTATTATTATTATTATTATTATTATTATTATTATTATTATTATTATTATTATTATTATTATTATTATTATTATTATTATTATTATTATTATTATTATTATTATTATTATTATTATTATTATTATTATTATTATTATTATTATTATTATTATTATTATTATTATTATTATTATTATTATTATTATTATTATTATTATTATTATTATTATTATTATTATTATTATTATTATTATTATTATTATTATTATTATTATTATTATTATTATTATTATTATTATTATTATTATTATTATTATTATTATTATTATTATTATTATTATTATTATTATTATTATTATTATTATTATTATTATTATTATTATTATTATTATTATTATTATTATTATTATTATTATTATTATTATTATTATTATTATTATTATTATTATTATTATTATTATTATTATTATTATTATTATTATTATTATTATTATTATTATTATTATTATTATTATTATTATTATTATTATTATTATTATTATTATTATTATTATTATTATTATTATTATTATTATTATTATTATTATTATTATTATTATTATTATTATTATTATTATTATTATTATTATTATTATTATTATTATTATTATTATTATTATTATTATTATTATTATTATTATTATTATTATTATTATTATTATTATTATTATTATTATTATTATTATTATTATTATTATTATTATTATTATTATTATTATTATTATTATTATTATTATTATTATTATTATTATTATTATTATTATTATTATTATTATTATTATTATTATTATTATTATTATTATTATTATTATTATTATTATTATTATTATTATTATTATTATTATTATTATTATTATTATTATTATTATTATTATTATTATTATTATTATTATTATTATTATTATTATTATTATTATTATTATTATTATTATTATTATTATTATTATTATTATTATTATTATTATTATTATTATTATTATTATTATTATTATTATTATTATTATTATTATTATTATTATTATTATTATTATTATTATTATTATTATTATTATTATTATTATTATTATTATTATTATTATTATTATTATTATTATTATTATTATTATTATTATTATTATTATTATTATTATTATTATTATTATTATTATTATTATTATTATTATTATTATTATTATTATTATTATTATTATTATTATTATTATTATTATTATTATTATTATTATTATTATTATTATTATTATTATTATTATTATTATTATTATTATTATTATTATTATTATTATTATTATTATTATTATTATTATTATTATTATTATTATTATTATTATTATTATTATTATTAAGAACATCGAACATTTCAGCTTAAACACCAACGAATATCAAAACGTAAATGACGAAAACTTTGATCCACATATCATTCATAACGATAAAGTCCTGAATTTTTGCAAAATTTGCAAGTTTTGTTCACTGCAATGTGGTAGATATGCAAGAAAGAAGTATGAAGAAAGAAAAACTATCTTCAAAAGTGGTTGTAAGTGACAAAGCTTTTCTTCAGTCACACAGCAGACATTCTTCTTGTTTGTGAACAATTTATTGAAGTGCAAAAGAGATTTGAAGCTTTAGAGTACTACCAATGTAGACATCGTTCAAATCTTCGATTACTTCTCAATCACATACAACCAATTCATAATTTCGGCTATGTATATTGGAAGGAATAGATTAGCTACGTGAATGCTGAGAAGTGCTGACCCCTGGAAATCTGTTTGATTTGAGTAGATTGTAGAGCTGAACAGTTGTTGCCTTGCAGAGAAGGCGACATTTGACCAATCTTTTTTTTATTGGGACAAAGATTGTCGTTGATCATAGTCATTGAACAAAATAGTTCGAGGAAATAGTTGTGTGGGAGCCAGTGAATGTCAGATTGCTATCCAAAAATATAGTAAGTATTAACTCATAACATTTATAATATCACAGTAGCGCAGAGGAGGTCAGTTAAGCGAGATGCTGTCAACCTTGTCAAATTCGAATATAATTTACAGTTAGTAAGAAACCAACAAACAACAACGGAGGTGAACTAAGTAAAGAGCTGATAACTGTAAACAATCTAATTGGGGACAAATTTCTGGTTTATAAAAGTGTATGCTTATCTATTTTAAAATTAAGAAAAGTTACACTTTTGCTACTGTTTTTCCATTAAACTTATTCATCAATAATAGAATGCCCTATGTGACTCATCTTAAAGAGAATAGCATAAATTATAGCATGACTGTACAGTAAGATCACGTAATATACAAAGTATTACTGGTGAGTTTCGTGTTTCGGAAAATGAAATAGTAAAATCTTAACTTCCATAAAAATCAGTTTTGTTTTGCATACAATTAAGTTTATGACAATAACGGTTTTTTATAATATTATATTTTTCAGCTTTAAATATAATAACACTAAGAACTCACCAAAACAGTGCAATCTACTCACTATAATAATACTACTTCACTTTCTTCTTTATTGTTATCATTACCTTTCATTGTACAAATAGCACAAATAAGGAATAACAATGCGAATAAGCACAGCTAGATGGCTATTAAGTGATCATCTCATGCACGGGAACATTTGTTCAAGGAATGTCTAAAAAAGACTGTCTTAGTTCTATGGATGTAATATAATTTTATTTCTACATATTATATGTTTTTCCGACATTCCCTACGAAAGACGAAAATCTTCAGCGGTCTTATTAGTTTGAGCTTGTTGTTTTGTACCATTTCTCTTTCGTAAAGCGACAGGTTCTTCATGTTCATTGACTTCCCGAATTGATTTATCATTTTCGTTGAACTGTTGAATTTTTTTTATCTTCCAGAGTGAGCAGTTTATTCACTGACCTTGTTTTCGCCTGTTAATTTTATTGAAGCACTTTTCACTCTTCCATTTCTTCCTTTTAATTCCTTTTATCCTCATTAATTTCCACATACGCCATGAGAAAGAAATTGTATTAGTCGACGAATAGTTGAACAACAAACTACTTCTATGAAAGTATTGTAGAGAATGAGCAAATTTCACCAATGTTAAATTTTACTTAAAAATATAAAAAAATGTTTTTCTTAAAAAGTAAAGTATAGCTAAAGTACTGATCAATTATTGAACAACTTCCTGAATTGTACATGCGTTTCAAATAATTTAATATTAGAGCTTTTATAAAGGATAAATTCTTTCATGAAAACCCTATTCAAGTGTTAATAACAATTTAAGAGGCCATGGTGCATTTTCAATTCCTAAACAAGAAAAGCTGCATTCATAAGCATCAACTAATTAAGAAATAAAATAGTTTGACTGAACAAAGACAGGATTGTTTCCGAAGTATGGTATGGACATGATAGAAGGAACTATTAAAAAATATCTTTATACAATTTAAAACCTAAACGACAGCGCTAAGCGCTTATAACCGAAGTCATTACTGATGTTTATTATATAAACCTCTCTTGTTATCTTAAGTGAAATTAAACGTTTTTACCAAATTGGAAGGTTAGGCATACATTTATTACACAATGCATCAAATTATAGCACACCGAAATGATGAATTTTATGTCGGGTCAGAGCTGATTTGGAATTTGAAATGGATAAAACCAGAATTTGATAGAAAAATGTTAGAAAGAAATAAACATCTCTAGTAGTCATCGAATTACATCGTGAATTCATAACAAAGATTCCTCAACATTCTGTGTATCAAAAACAGTAAAGGCTTAGATAATGCAATTTGAGATGCAAGTAAGTTACGTACGTAAGTTTGCATGAGTATTAAAAATAAAGATAAAGAGAATTATCGTAGCTAACTATAAATTCTTTCATCTAGAATCACTTTGTAGCTACTTCACTACTTCGGCAACATTGGCCACCTGTTGAACTGATCAGTTGAAGGAGAGTGTTCCAAAATTTAAATGAAATGCCAAATATCATTCACAAAATTTGGGAGAATTCTTTTGAAATACACATTCAAATATATTCAAAATTATTTGCATGACTTTATGTATTCCCAAAATATCAGACCCTCATTCACTTTAAAATGAGTCACATCAAATCTTCTCATTTAAATAGCAAAGTAGAAATTTATTAAATAACAGTAAATTTAAAATAGAATCACATTAATTCGTATTAGATGGAATGAAATATGACTTTTTAAAATATAATCATCAAAATAATTTTAGCTCAATTTATTCAACACAGTCTAACCATACTAATGATATTAAAAAGTGAGGACAGCATAAATAATAAGCGATGTTCAAGTGATAAACACGCTTATCACTTATAACTACCATAACTCCTCCATGCATATATCAAAGTCAGAAATACTACTAACATTTTCTGCACTTGAAGGCGATCAGTATACGATGCACAGCTTGTATCGCTTGTTGTACCATTGTTTCCTGGTCGTACAGAATATACGGAGCTGAATGACCGTTTCTGCTGACTGCGTGTAAAGATACCTGCAGTAGGTGAACCATGGCGTTGCTTGCGAATTAAAGACGGCATTTTACCAGATGAAGCAACTGCAGCTGCCGTCAAAGCTGTTTGCACTCTAGACGTCATCTGAATTACCTGAATTTCAACAATGATGGAAAGAAGCAACATTTAAAATATTTTGAAAAAAAAAAAGAAACAGAATTTTAAATTCAAATTTCAGCTCAAAATTTCATGCCTAAAATTGAATTCATATTATCTAGCATCGAAGCTGGCCAACGTTAAATTTCAATTTTTCTATTTGAATTATCTCACTTTTCCAATGCTATTTGACTTATTTCTCTTATTGCTTTTTTCCATCGTTTGCTTGATTTATGATACGATCAAGTTAGTGGATTCGTTTTGATTCCACTTCAATTTCAAAATAACATCTCAGTGCATACATTTATCTAAATTACTGTTGTCAAAAGCCTTGGAAATATAACTTAATATCAAACTTCAAACTTTTTCCCTACAATGCTGTATGATTTGATTTTAATCATACCGTTTTTCTTAACTCTTCCGCTTGCTGACTCTCTCTTTCCGTACAGATATTCACAAAACTTTTCCGTACGGGTATTCACAAAATATTCTTCCTAAATTCTCATTTTCCACTTAAAAATCTACTCTAAATCCGATTTATACGAATCCGATATTTTTTGTCTCCAATACACTACGCTGCATTCGTTGTAACCGTAAACGACTGCAAACGCAAATACATCCCGATTGGATGCTAGCTTTTTTGCTTGGAGCAAAAAATTAATCCCGTTACTTGTCGTTTGTGCAAACATAAAGATTACTTTTCATATTGCATTTTAAAATCCAATGAGCAAATTATTTCATTTTCTCTTTAAATAAATGGCAGTTTGGAGTGAGAAAGGGATACGACCAAAGATTTACCTATAAATTGGTAGCAATCATTAAATTAGGATAAATGATTAATAAGAATTTTTCATATACTGGTCATCCTGACTCTTAAAATGAAACGATGCAAAAGAAGATCATAAACAATTACACTTTTGCGCCAACGATAAAGTTACTAGGGTAGAATGAGGTATGCATAGTAAATGAGGAAGATTTCGCTGTCTATTAATTACTGTTCAATCCAGCATACTATCATTATACTGCATTGATAAATGCATTTAAAAACATAACCATCTTTAGCATCAATCTTAAATATAATGCCCGATGCCTCTTAGCAACCTATTTATGCTTTCAATCATTCATTCATCAACAATAAATGGATTTCTAAAAAGACCAAAAAGACGATTTCTTCTCCACTTTATGGCAGGAAGTGAATCGTTTCTCTCTAAATTGATAATTTCAAAGTCATACTATCTTGATATTATGCAGATACGTTCAACTTATTAAACTCACAATTGTCAATGTATTCGTGAGAAAGAGTTAAGAAAGATTTAGGAATCATATCAACATATCAATTTTATCGGTTCACAGATAAAATTCAGTCCTTGTAATCTTAAAAATCATGCAGCTCAAATGAATGAAGTCGTCGTGTTGACTAAAGCATACATAAAATTGTATTCTCTTTACTGTGATATTGAATTTCTTGAAATGGATTATAATGATTAGTTGAATGCATTTCTGCATGAAATCAGCTGATGGAAATTTTTTGAAATATTAAATGAGGAAAACACATGTAACAACAAAGGAACCATATTGCCCTCAAACTAGAAAGCTTGCAATTGACAACTTCCCATGCAAGATATTAATATTTCATCTTCTTCCTTCTTCTAAGTCAAAATACTACAGCTTTGCATCTTATTAAGTTAACACTGAAGTGGTACTTCTATAAAGTTTCAACTGCTTCCCATTGAAAGTAATACGAAAGCATTTGGTACAAAAAGTACCAGATAGTGCTATGTTAGCTTCAAAAGCATTATTTGAAGGTTAAAACTAAAAATAAAGCAAAGAGTAAAAGTGAGAGAAATTGCTGATTGAACAATTTAGCTAGATGAAATTAAAGTACACATCTAAAATCATTGCAAATTCACCACCCAAAATTGAAACTTCTCGAAACTACTAACCGGCCGTTACTAATGAAAGACGAAGAAATGTTCAATCAAATTGTTAACACCAGGATTAAACCTTCAACAATTTTCTTGTGCAAAAGCAGTTTCATTTTTCTTTTTCCAAGGCTTTCTCATCGTCACTTCATTTCAATATTCATTGACCTCATGATGTTGCTAAATGGTCAGCAAATTACTTATGAAATTATCGAAATTTAATTTAAAAATATGGTGCATAACTGTAATAACAAGCAGAGTTCCCTTAAGCTAGAAATTTGTTAGACCTTAAAATTTTGCATTTATCAAATTGGTGAAGTTTATTGTTTTTGTTGTTTTCTAAGCATGTATGGATTAATTCTATTTTGATGTGAAAACAGAAAAGATTTTACCGCCAATGGTGGAGAAAGAACGATTTTGGTTTTTTTTTTTCCATTTGACATGCATGCTGTTCAGAAAGAAAATGCCATTGGCTCCAGAATAAATCATTGCTTATGGAATTGTTGAGATTGTCAGATAAAGTATATTCCATTCATGGCCTGTTTATTATATCTAAGAATTTTAAAAACTCAATTGTAACATTCATTTCTTTATTCCAGTAGAATTTGAGTACTAAGAATTAAATTAACGAAAAATTTGTGGCGCATAAGAGCAGTTTATCAGTGCTGCAATAAATGAAACTCCATGGAAGTTTGACAACAAATGTGAAACGTAAAAGGTTTAAAAACTAAAGGAAGAGATTATTTAAGAGGGAATGAAAAGGTATTTAAATGCGAGAATCGAAGTAAAACAAACATTATTAGAAGACTTAACAACAAATGGCTGAGAAAATCACGAATTTAAAATATTATATTCCCTTATCGCATCTCAGAACACATTTTCAGGCTCATAATACAATTATAATACGCAGATGACAAAGGACAAAGAAGAACATTCAATAAATGACTCATCCATACGTTACAGACACGCACGGACGGAGACAGAGACACACGTTTCTCTCATATGCACGTGATATTAACCCATCAGTTGTACAGACTAGGTGTTCTTTGTCAGATTATACGCGTTGCCAAATTCGGAGAAAGTCATTTAATGAGAAGTAGAATCGCTGATGAGCGGTTAAATTGACTTACTTTTGCTCCTCAAATAGTTGCAGTAATTAGTAATTAAGCAGTCAAGAAAGTTAATTACTAGCCGAATCCCTGTATCCCAAGGTTTTTTCAACCTAATGAATCGTGTTGCTACCCATAATCCATCAAGAGTTTAAATTGAAACTGTTTAAATGCTACAGTTTAAAGTTTAAATTGAAATCACTGACTCAAATAAGATGCTAATTATGATGATTAAGCTTTTTTTTTTTTTTTTTGATGACTAAGCTCATCAAACAACGGCTAACAAAACTATTTTTTGTTGAGAACTTCAGAAATATGAAGATCTTTTACAGCGTGCACAATATGCATATAAATATCTTTAAATCTATAGGGTAAATCATATTTTAGTTTGCTTTCGTATAACTTTTTTAAGAACATTTTTGTTCAGTTTAAGAAGAAACTCATTGAATTTTTGGAGAACAAAATGTTCCAGCCGTTGGAGAAATAGCAATTCTTTGTTCCTTTATTAACAAAGGAAGCCCATACTTTATAAAAACAAAAGTTTGTCATATGTTAAATTCTATTGTTATCACTCAAAAAGTTTATTGTCATTCCTTACATGATCTTAGTTTATTCGCTTCGAGTAAATTTATGTGTCAAAGAAAATTTTTATGAAAGATTCTTTTTCATATCAAGCAAAAATCAAGTCAAGAAACAACATTCAGAGAATTGAAAATTATTGTAGTAAAGCAATAGAGGTTTCCATTAACTGCATCAATTCAAAATGTTATTCTCTCTGAATGTTATTTTTTTCTACCTTTACTATTTCTATTTGGTAAATAAAGTATGACTACTTTCCAAAACACAGAAACTACTGGAAGCAGAAGTTAAACGAAAAATGAAAGGTATGATTAATGAATGAGTAAGTAACGTAAATATAACAGGTGCTGATGAATACAATCCTTCCAAACACTCTTCACAAATTGATAAAGATATCTAATTGTGCAAACCTCAATACCTTCAATTTAGACATACAAAGCTTTCATAAATCATTTACAACTTATTTCGAAGTAATGACATTGTCTTACCAATGCTAATTTCCCAAATTCTCAGGCATATTATGTGCTCTACCTACTCATTAGGATTTCAATAAATTCTTCCTTCGATATCCAGTAAATTCACCTTAATAAGATTTAATTACATAGCTATTTGAAAATTTCAAGAAAAGCAACAAACCTTAACACCGATTGCTAGAACCGCAATAATGAATGAATAGTTGGCGCAAACAGCAATTCATCTGTTTTGTCACGTTTATTTTTTGTAATCGATATAACATAAGATTCAGATATTACAATGATAAGTTGTAGAAAAAAATATATTAAACTTCCATTAATAATTTTTTGATCTTTTTGAGATAGAAAGAAATATGAAGAAAAAAGTATAGACCGATTTCGAAATTTAATAAAAAAACTGAAAACTTTGAACAACTTTAAAGAACATTTAGCTATTAAAATTTATTATGAGATGAGGAAGAACTGTATTTAATTACTGACCAGAATTTGTAATCATAAATGGTACACATAAATAGAACTGGAGGAAGTTAAATTTTCATTGAAAATCATATTATTGAATTATCCAAAAAAGTTCCTCGCACATAGATTTGAAAAATAAAATTTTTAGCTCTGATGATTTTTGGCCTTTCCTGATTCTATCCTGAATTTTAACAAGATAGATTCTGAGTTCAGCAAAATTAGAACTTAGCTACAACTATTTGCTTTTAAACAAGAAATTAATAACATTTTTGCTATTAACCGTTTCATTTTCTTTCATTGCAAAAGAAAACCAATTTTCAAACTTACGAAGAGAAATTTTTTCATGTAAACATAAAACAACAAAGAAATGAGAAATGAATAATTTTCTAAGTTTGTCAATTTTCTAATGGAAAACTGTTTCATTTAGGATTCTTCTGAAGCTATCGAAGGATGTGCTGTGATACCAACATTTGATACCTGAATATCGAAGTTTAAAAAGTTAAAAACTATGAAAACATCAATTAAAATTCATTGTTCCAAAAAATATAAATAGCGACAAATCAGTTTTTTTACTTTGCTCTTAATTTTCAGTTTTATTGAATACATTAAAAATGGTACAGAATGTGCGATGCGTCCCCCAACAGACTGAGGTTTAAAACGATTTCTAGCTCGAATCCTGACCAACGAATTTTCGGCAGTATCAGCGCGTTCTTCAGCATCTTCAAGCATATGCTGCATTTGCCGATATTTGCCAAGATTCTGAGTGGCTAATTGTTCCTGAATTAAATTAACACCTTGAAAAACAAAGAACTGGAATGAAATTAGAATAAGAAATAAGAAATAAAAAACAGATTACTTTACAAGTCAATGCAAGAAATTTTGCAAGATAACCTAAATTGAGCTGTTCGAAGCAGGAAAAATCTTTCTTGAATAACGATCAAAAGAAAATATTTGAAATGGAACAATTATCACATGTAACTGTAGTAAATTTAAATATTTCTTAGCTTAATAGCAATTTAATTTGAAAAGTTAATGAAAGTCCAATACCGACCGCTTCTTCTATTTGCCGCTTGTAAGTTTTGATTTTTGTTTGCATCTTTTCAATGAGATCATACATTCGTTCGCTGTTCTTTTTATCTTCATCTACTTGGAATTGAAGTTCGCGCACTTTTCGTTCTCTGTTGCGATAGTTTTTGAGAGTTTCCGCGTGACGTCGACATTCATCCGCCAATTCTATCTCAAGGTCATGTACACGTTGATCTAATTTAGTTAAGATACGTTTTCCATCTTTTAAGGCAGTTGTTTCTACATCATCCAAACGAGCCTGCATTTCCTGAAAATGTATTAAAAATTTACGCTCTAATTATGTTAGATTGCTTCTATGCTTCTCTTCTGCATTACTGCCCATCTGAAATTATTGTCCATTCATCGAAAAACTTCTAAATGAATAAGAAATAGTAAGGATGGGAGGAATACAATAAAACCTTCATTTGTGATTCCAATCCTTTCCGCTGTCGTTCAAGATTTTGTGAATGTTCCTGCTCTGTTTGTAACTCTTCCGCCAGTTTTCCTGCATCCATCACTGCTTTCTTGCATCGTTCATCGGTATTCTTTAGTTCATTAAACGTTTCATTCAGTTCACTATGGAGCTGCTGAAAAGTGACCCTATAGAATACCTTGACTAGTAATACCTTGACGTCCCGTTTTGAATATGTTTGAAAAGTCGTAACAGTTTACACAATTAACTCATCAATATTCTGTTTTTTTCATATATCGAGAAATATGCAATTACATTAAGTTTAAGGCATTAGCAGGAGACTAAAAATAAGCAAGTTAAATTCATTTGAAAATGAAAGTAAAGTTAAAATAAAACTTTTGGAGACAAATAAAAATATGCCATCCCAAATGTAGTAGTATTATTTATTATTTATAGTATCATTTATATTATTTATTAAATTGTAAAAGAGATCAGTTCAGTAATTTCGTAGATGGTAATGTCTCTCATTACTTGTTTAGGTTTTCTAAAAAAAAGAAAAAAAAAATGATAACAATCTTTTCTTATTCTGAAAAAAATATATAAGAAAACTTTTATTCTGATTGGCAAAAGTGTGGATTTTACATCACGGCTTACCGTTTCGTCATTATAGAAAATCCCGCATTTTCCAATAAGCCTTCAATGTGAATTTCTATTTTATTTATTTTTTTTTTAGAAATTTTTTATAAGACCTGAATTTCGGATTCCAACTTTCGTTTCGTAGCTGACAGCGAATAATTACTTTGAGTTAAAGAGTTCACTGCTTCCTTTATATCTGCGGCTTCTTGTTCTGTCTGGCGCCGATTTCGTTCAGCCTAAATTGGTTCATTTTCACAAAATTCACACTTTAAAAATTCCCTCCTTTCATAGAAAGATATATTTTAATGTTGGTGTGAAACAGTTTGCTAATTTAATAGGTATGCTGCATTCAGGTTGTGAATTTCTCATATTCTTCAAACTGATCCGATAATAGGATAACAGGGAGCTGATGAAATTATTTGAAAATGCAATCGATTCGCGTAACATCATTATCCAATAAAAGAAATATCAAAATAAGATATCCAGATTGATATATAATAGTTGTAAGCGATCTGACCAATAATTTTGGCTAATTACTCGATTAATTATACTAATAAGAATGATAATTCTCGGTAATAACCTTCTTTGTAATGGTTAATGGATTGAAGATGAAAAATAAAATGAACTGAATTATTATCACAGCAGAAAGACGGCAACAGTGCAAAGTTAAAAGTATCAGATTATTGATTAAGGAATTCATTTTTTGATAACCTGCTCTAGAGTATCGGATAGTTCTTCTTTTTCTGATTGTAATATTTGTACGCGTCTTTCTATAACGTTCATTTGTTCTCGTAGCTCATCACGTTGCCGTTGTTCATCTTCGATTTGAGTCTACCATTAAAATTTGTTATATGACTTATGATAGATTACTAAATTTAGAAAATTTTGGCCAGCTGTATTGCTCTGTAAAATTTAAAATGCTGAAATTTCCTCAAAAAATTATTTTTGTTAAAGAAATGAAACTTTATTGAAGGAGAAATTGATAATTCCAATGTAATATATCAGTGTGTCTTTTCATCAAAACTTAAACGGAATGACATTCATTCAACTCTTGCACATTCACTCATTTCGTCCTAACAGTAGGAACTGATGCCTTTTATCTCATCCGTAGAGAACAGGTCAAGGCTACTTCTAGCAGAAAAAACCGACCATCCTATACACTCATACAAAATCTGCTGTAGTTTTCAGAGCATCAATCGAGGAGATATGGAGAAAATTGAAAATAACTGCACTATAAAATGAAAACATTCCTTTCGTATTTTCGGTTATAAAATAAATTTATTACCTGCAACTCACGTACGTTATCCTGATGACGCTTAATGGTTTTCTGAGCATCGACATTGGTACGATTAGCATGATCCAGTGCTACTTCTAGTTCCTAAAAGACATCCATGATTCACTTTTAATATAAAAATGAATTCTTTTACAATCCCAGTGCTGCAGCAGAGTAGTTCGAGGATTAACTTGAAGTGATAAGAGCGAAACTAACAGTAATATCTGATTCCAACTTCTTTTTCATCCGAAGTAAATCAGCTCTGCCTCTTGTCTCTGCTTCCAGGGAAGCCTAAATATCAAACCACTTGAGCATGACAAAACTCAGATAGTAATGTATCATAAAAATTGATTTTCTTGATTTTAAACATTTTAGAAAAAAAATAGGAGCTCGAAAAATGACAAAAATGCATAATCCTTAGAAACAAAACTATGTGAATGAGATGAATTGATACCAGTTGTTAAGTAGAGTAATTAATTTTGATTTTCCAGAACATTTTATTTTCAAAAAACAAAGCGTGGTTGAGAATGAAGAACCTGCATGCTTTCCAAAGTTCGCTGATGATTGTTTCGTGTATTTTGAAATTCTTCCTCTTTCTCGGTTACACGTTTCTCAATTTCCGATCGGATTTGTGAAATTTCAATTTGTGCTCGTAAAACTTTATTCTCTTCGATTTCCAACGCACTTTCAGCATCATCCAATGCTTGCTGAATATTTTACAATTTGATCTTTTATTGAAAATCTCTTCTTAATAGTTGAGCTATGACTCCTCAGAGAGAGTCATTAAAAAAAAAATATTTGCAGTTGTAATTTTCACTTATAATTGAATAATTTTTATTCAGAAACCTGAAGTTCATTCTTTTCCATTTCCAATTTTCTTTTTTGTTTCTGCAATTCATGTAAACTTTTTCCTCCTTCGCCAAGCTGATCAGCAACATCTTTCAATTCCTCTGTTAACACTTTGTTCTCTCGTCGCAGTGCTTCTACCTAAATCCATTATGTTCCATAAATGCAAAGAAGTTAAAAAAAAAAAAATGAAATTGTGATGTTACTTAGCAACTATAAATGTCTGGGACCAACAGACCTGCATATTTAATCCTAGTGGGTGTTTTCGTGGCTCTCTCCCAACAAAATATTATGATAAATGATATATTTGATACAATTTGAAAGCAATTAACTAATATTTTCGATGATAACAAATGCAAAAAATGCACCTGCTCTGCTGTTTCCTCTACAGTACTGCGAAGTCTAAATGCTTCGGTGGTTGCACCCCGCACTTCTCTTTGGCTTGCTTCCAATTCTTGTGTTAGCATATCACATTTTCGCTTCCAGTCTTCAACCGTTTTGTCGAATACCTTTTGTTTCTTATCCAAAGAATTTGCAAAACTATTGGCCTGAAATCAGTGTTTGTACTGAGTGCATGAGACATATTGCAGTACTTGGCCACTAATTATATCAGACTTGTGAAATGGTTATGCAAGATGTACTGAAATCTTAACAAAAAATTTTTAATATTTTTTCATGCATATAGTTGTAACAGTCATTTAGTATTATGATGATTTAAAATTAATATAACAATTTTTTTTTAAATATATTCGAAAATTTTTGAAGTCTTCTAATTGATGAAAGAGTAAAATGTGACAAAAAGAAGTTGCTTTGTCAGCGTCTATCTGCGCATCCTCAAGTTCTTGAGCCAGTCGCAGACGAGTTTTTTCTAGTGAATTAATGCGACTATTTGCTGCATCCAGTGCTTCTTGCATTTCCTGCACTTTCGCTTGCAATTTCCGCCTCAAAATATTCAATTTTTGTTAAACGAAGTAATGCAACAGTATATTACTAATCTAGCAGTCACCAACCAACCTATCATTAATCTAGATATAATGGAATAAGAAAAGTATTCAAATTACCTAGCTTCTTCCAGTTCTTCGGATCGACTCATTCCTTCACCCTCATATCGAGCTCTCCATTGTTGTACTTCAGAATTGGCCTTTGAAATTAGCCTTTGAAGCTCTGTTTTGCTATCCAATTCTTCGTCCATCGCATCACGAAGCTGCTGGCATTCCAGTTGTAAACTTGAGAGCTAAATTTCAAGTTTTCACTTTTTTCAAATACCAGTTTGACCCCGCCTAAGAAGTCTGTCTATATTTTAGCTTAGCTTCGTTAGACAGAATTCATTATACCTGTGTATTAAGTGAATGCTTTTCATGAGATTCCTGCTCCAATTGTCGTTTCACTTCTTCTAACTGTGCAGTTAATTGTTGCTTGGTACGATTGAGAAATGCTATTTGATTTTGACAGTCTTCCAGTTGCCTAAAAATGCCTTCTATACTGAATATTTCGATCGCTTTCAAAACAGTATGAAATCATCACATCTCTTCCGCAATTTTCTACTCATTCAAATCTTCTTCCTTTTTTTAACTAAAATATTTTCAGCGGACAATTAAGTGAAAGCTCTCGATATGATTACTTGCTCGTATCGCTGACTTCAGTCTGCAACTTATTTTTGGTTGCAATAGATTCTTGCAGATTTCGTACTTGTTCATCGACTTTCAGTTGAGTATCTGCTAATTGTGCTTCCAACTAAATTTTGTAACTTAAATTACAGATTTCTTAATAATTAAAGTGCAAAAAAACAAACTGACTAGAATTACTAAAATCTTATTTCAATTTGAACCTGCTTAGCAAATCTGTCCGCATTTTGGCGCTGTTTAGCTTCCATGTCACATTGATTCCGTAAAGTATCAATTTCTCGTTGTAGAGTGCCTTTTTCTTTCTCCATTCTAAATTTCAGTTTAAATTTGCAAGTTTATCAAAAAAAAAAAAAAAAGATTTTTTTTTATTCCAAAAACTTCTTAATACACTTGGCAAAGCATTCATATTCTGACTGGATGGTAAATAAAGATAACCTGATTCGTTCCTTCTGGGTAGAATCCAGTTCCCCGGAAAGTTCCACCATTGCATCGTTATGTTTTTTACGCAAATTAGCAATAGCTGTTTCAGCATTCAGCGATACTTCTTCCTGTAAATTATGCAGTTATTCATTCGTTTGTTATATTTTATACAAAAGCAGTAGTGGTGCATTTGAAATGAATTACTCACATTGGATTATTTACGTCATTTTGCAACACATTATGCTCATAAAAAATATGTTTACAGAAAAAATTTGATTTTTTTAGGAAAATGAAAATCCGAAAGATAGGAAAGACTTCATGAAATAGAAGCATTTTCTAACCAGGTCTCGACGGAGCTTTGCTAATTCTGCTTCTCGTTTCTTATTCAATTCAATTTGTGCTTGTGTTGCACCGCCTGCTTCATCAAGACGATCACTAAGCTCTTCAAGTTCCTTTTGCATTTCACTGCGACTTCTCTCGACCTTTCAGTATTTTCATGTTAAAACATTTAATCCAAAGTCACAAAAGTGAGAATTTTTCGGAAAATATTGATTGGTAAAAGTAGAAGAATTATAAAATGAATGATTTATGACTATTATAATGCACATTCCTACATCGCTTTAACATTTCAACAACAATGATTAACATTTAAGTCGAAAAATTTTAAAGTTAAGTAATTTTTGCATGATAATTATTACGCTGTTGCATTAAAAAAAAGTTATGATGTTTTCTATGATGCAAATAACCGATCTCCGTAAAAACCAATTAAGTTATTGAATTAAGTTTTCCCAGACCATTTTAGAATTCTGGAAAAAAGCCATTGATTAACCTTTAGTTTTGCTTGTCGCTCTGTTTGAAGCTCTTCTTCAAGTTCGTGATAACGAGCTATTTGTTCCTTTAATTGACGCTGTATTTTATTTACCGATGATTGTTCATCATCTATACGATTCAGCATTGAAGCTATTTCAGTATCTTTCCTTCAAAATTACTTCATAGGAAATCTTTCCATAAGTTTATCAGTTCAAAAAGGCTTCCGTAAAATTAAATTCTTCTTTTGCACTCAAATTTCAACCTTCTCAAAATATTGAAGTTATGATCCAAGGCGCTCCATTCTTTTCAGTATTAACATGACTAATACAAACAGGTTTAATACTTAAAAAGCACTGATCACAAAACTATTTACTTTTTCAGTGCATTTTCCATTTCGTGTTTTTGTTTCATGAATTCTTCGATATTTTCCTGAGCAATTTTTAATTCCCCTTCAGCTTTACGTTTTGATTTCTCAAAGTCTTGACGTATTCGTCGTTCTCGCTCCAAATTGTCTTCGATCTCATCAATTGTTTGCTCTAATTTATTCCGTACTTTGTTCAGATGGTTCAGTTTGTCCTCTCCAACTTGAATTTCTTCCAGAAGTTTACGACTTATCTGTAGCAAAATGAACCATAACTGATCATTTGATAATGTAAGACCTCATTTGACATGTTTGTTATTTGACCGAGTTATCTATCTACTTAAGATTATCAGAAATGTTTGTATTAAATGTTGTATTAATTATTGCACTAATTTCGAATTCAAGAAATTCCTTACAAAGTTTTAATTAATCTTAAAGAAGATTTCTTTAATGGCAAACCTCTTCTTGGCTTTTCTTTTCTTTGCTAGTTTTTGCAATTATTTCATCCTGTGATTTTATTTCATCCTCAAAGCAAACACAACATTAAATCCAAAACAAACAGAACATAGAATATGAAAGCTTCTTGAATTCTACATGACCTTGAATTCTGACTCTTTAACTTCATTTCTGTGTTTCATTTCTGTCGACTTAAGGACAGTTTACTTCATCTTAAAGAGAAGAATTGGCATGTAAGAAGAAAAATGCTAAAAATATGAACCTGCAAGGATCGGAGTTGATGGTCCTTAACTTGCTTGTCCTGGTCAAGCTTTTTGCAAGTCGCTTCTAGCTCAGCAACTGTACTTTTCAGAACTTCGTTATCATACTCTATCTTACTTTTCACTTTTGATAAAATTGCATTTCTATCTTCCTGTTCAGCAAGCTGTTCCTTTACACAAGCAAACTGTAAAATTAAAAGTGAGCATAATTCCACTATCAACAATTAGCCTTGTACAACAACAATTCTGAAATAACAAGATAAATAACATTTACAGCTAAAGGAGAGCGTCGAATCTGAATATGTAGCTCAATGTTCCTTTTGAATTTGAGTACAGAAGCAGTTTCGAAGCCTTTTTTTACACAAGTGACGTTTTTTAAATTTCTATTTAAAATTTGCAAGTATTGAGGTTTCTATCAACTTTCATACCTTAGCTAGCAAGAACATTCTTGGTTAAAAAAAAATATTCTTGCCTGTTTCTCAGCATCAATTTTCTGAGCCAAGAGTTTGGCAGCTCTTTCTTCTCCTTCTGCACTTATATCTTTCTCCTGTCCAAGTTGAAGGAAAAGTTGCTGTTTTTCGGTTACCAACTTGACCACTTCTGATTCTTTGTCTTTACGCAATTGTTTTTCGCGATTAAAGTTCTCTTCCAATTCTTTCGCTTTTCTTTGCAATGCTTCAAATTCTTCATCCTGAAATAATTTTTCTTAAAAATTTTCAGTTCTTAAAACGAACTTTTCATAAGCCATAAAATGTGCCTCAACCAGTAACACTTATTGAATATTGGACAAATTCAATAAAATGCTCATTTTCTTCTTGAGTACATTAAAAAAAGAAGTGTCATATATGCATATATGCACATTAAAGCTATCTGAGAAAGCAGTATTTATGACATTGTCGTCAGTATGTGATTAAGTAGAAGGAAAGTTTCATTTTTAGCAAAAGCGAAACAAAGCAAACGATTGAAGCAAATGATAAGTGTCATAGATGTAGTGACAAACACGTTGTAACACAAAATCTATTGAAATGGCATGGAATGCTATTTAGTTCATTGTTGATAATTTCGCTTACTTTTTTGCTTCCTTTAATTAATAGTTTGACACGACCGTACAGTTTGAACCAATTCCAATTGCGCAATGTGCACCATACGCGAATATTGCGTTGCAATAACAAAACAGCAGCTCTAAACGGCAGTGACAGCAAGTTAAAATTTTAATTCAAAATTAAAATTTGCTGAAACTGATTAAATCATAATTTAAGCAGCGGTGTGGGAAAAACTCACTTTTTCTGCATTCTGCAGCGAAGATCACACTGAACTTGATAGTGTCTGCATGCATTTTGAAATTTGGTTATTATAATTGATAAAGCTTCATCTCGAAGCTTTTCAAGTTGAGCAAAAATGCCAGCTTTAAAAAATACCTATAAATGAGTTTTGCTATGGGATTTTTATTGCTAATTCAAATTTCTTGTCCTTTAGTGATATTTTCCGGCATTTTCCTGATGTTTTTTCCAAAACTTGGTTTTGACGGTATTCTTGATGTTTTCATCTTCGAAACGAATTTCATAAAAAACCTTGGTATTTCCAACGCAGTAATCTTCAGGTTTCAAAGTCCCAACTCTTTCTAGTGTTGCACACATTTTCACAACACATTGCTTGAGATCAATTTCAGAAGATGCATCTTCAGTGGCCAAGATAGCATACCTAATTTTAATTCACATTGTAGAATTCAACAAATATTAAATAATTATGCAGAAATGAAGTAGGCATTTATTTGAACTAAACTTACTACTATAAAAAACTTCGTTTACCTTTTATAGAACTAATCGTTATAAATTAATATTTAAAAAAATAATTCGAGTGATAGATGTCCATCATATTACATATTACGTTTAGAAAACAAAACTTGAAAATTTTGACACCTTTGTTTAAAATTAGCATGTAAGGTGCGATTTGGAAAACCTTTACGGCAGATTCGAATACCCTCAAGTACTCCATTACAAATAAGTTGATTGAGCACTAGTGAAGCTTCAATTACACCTGTAAAAAATTCGAAATATCCAAAAATAGAGAAAGGCAAAGATTCTGCGTAGGACATAAATTTAGAAATGTCTTGAATGTGATAACTATGGGAGTACCTGACTGCTTCTTCTCGTTTGGTATGATGCAACGGATGAAATGTGGATAAGTTTTATAAAGCATAGTCATCAGATTGTTCAACGATTCTCGATATATCATTGAAACTGTCATAAATGAAGCTGATTTACCTTTCTTTCTGCTCGTTTTGCCTTCTTTTGCTACAACTTTTAGAAATTTTGAGATTAAACTGTTCTTTGAACTTTAAAGAAGTAATTATGAGAAATTGCAACCCAAGACGAAATTTGACTAAAACTTACACATTAAGCCAATAAAGATCAGTTTCAGAAAACATTGACTTTACTACTTTTGACACTTTTAACTAGAAGTGGTAGGGTCAATAAAATGTCACAAATTTTGCTATTCAAAAAATTTCCAAAATTTATTCTAACATTCAGTGTTCGTTAAATATCAACAAGAAATTTAAGCGATAAAAATCAAAATACACTACCCAAATTAGTCATATCCTCTTGTGTTTTGTAGTCGTCCCAGATTTGTGTCATCAAAACCATTCCAGCATTTGCCTTCAAAACGCCAACTGCTGTGTCATTAAGAGGATCCTTGTTTTTCTCTAGCCAATCCGTTACATTATAACGTACTGTACCTGCATAATGTACTATGGCCAAATGAGCACTAGCCTGAAAATATTAATTACTGGGATATCATTTAGTCTAGTTTGTAAAATAAATGGGATGACTAGCAATTTCTGATTTTTATGATTCGAATTGATTACGTATTTTCTATAAGTTCCTCATTTATCTATTTTCATGACTACGAATGAGATTTTTTTTTTTTGAAATTAAGACTTTTTGAAGATTTTTAGAAAACTGAAAGTTCATTATTTATATGTTATTTTCTATCTTTTGGTCAATCACAAAACCTGTTTTCCTTTCGGTGGTTTAGGCTTCTGAAAATTCGGGTGCTTTCCGAGATGTTGATCATTAACTTTTTGAGCCAAGGTAAAATCAGATGCCTTTGGTACAATACACTCTTCATCCAACATTGAAATGATGCCAAGTGGCTTGAAATGAATTATTCAAAATCAAATAATATTAATAACTGAAAATCATAGTTTTTTAAAGAAAAATCAGAAAGTATAAAGTTTGTTTGCAAATAGAAGAGAATAGTTTGATTTGAAATTGACTAGTGGTAGAAGTAGAAATACAAACTGTTAGTCTGAATAGGACTGATTCAGTGATTCAGTGGATAATAATTTCGTAAATATTTTATACCTTTTCGATGAGTTCGATGCATGCTTGAAGGTCTAAACCGAAATCGATGAATTCCCACCGAATTCCTTCACGCTGATATTCTTGTTGTTCCAGAACGAACATGTGATGATTGAAGAATTGTTGTAACTTCTCATTTACAAAATTAATCCATAATTGCTCAAATGAGTTAAACTGAAAAGAAGTTACATTTTTTAACAATCCTCTTCCCCAAAATCTGGCTATGATAATAAATAAACAAATGTTCGGAATTAGAATATTAAACTTCTAGTGCTTCAAGTTTCTTACATCAAAAATTTCAAAACCGGCAATATCGAGCACTCCAATAAAATAATCACGACTGCGGTCTTGTGCGTCTAAGGTTTTATTACATCTCTTAATTAGCCAAGCGAACATTCGAGCATATATTGCTTTTGCTAGTGCTCCTACTGCCCAGTTCACCTAAAATTCATTTTCATTAGGAAATAAACAGGAGTTGAGATTTATTATAATTAGTGTAAAGAACTGCGAAAGATGTGACCTGTTCAAGATTCTGTCCCTTGCTCACCCATTCAAGTCCAACTTTAACACGAGGCTTTAATAATGAAGATATGAAATTGTTCGTATTAACCATCCATAATTTGCAAGCCAAATCACCTTCTGCAATATATTATTTATCATTCATCACTGGTTAAGTCATTAATTTATCAAAGTTTTCCTATCCTTCCTGAACCATTTGTCTTTAAGAACTCTGCAAACAAAAAGGGTGATTGCAGTATAAAGTAGAAAGTTGATTAAATCCCTAAAACTTCAAATTGTTTCATTAGATTCGGTCACCTTGATGATCTTCACATTCCGCTTGTTCCTCCCTTTGCCGCTGTTTGAATTTTATTTCACCCATATGTATAATCCCTGCCACCAAAGCAAATAGATCTTGTTTTTCTTGTTCGGTAAAATGCATGATATCGAATGATTCCTATGAAAACAAGTAGAAGTCATCTCTAACAGAACTCATTAATTCAATAAGTCAAGTAATCTATGAGTAGAAAAACAAAAATCTCAAATAATCTCGAAAATTATCTAATTCTTGTTAAATTAGCACTTGAAATTAGATAGAAAATATATTGGAAATTATATAATGAATTAAATCATCAATTACATCAGTTATCCGCATTTCTTCCTTATCATTCACATCATCGATAGTCACCTCAGCTTGAGAAATTAAGTGATAGTCCTTTATTTCACGTGTTAGAAACAACTTTTCTGCAATCAAAGTGAAACTTTTCAGCTATTCGGCCAGGAAATTTGTTCTCCAATGAAGTTAATTATAAAAAATTTTAAGAATGAATACAAAATGCTGCACCGATTATGAGTTCTGCAGATTTGATGGAAAAAATTGAACCAAAGCTCTTTTCACCTTTTAATCCTGCAATCTGACCAGACATAATTTGATAGAAAATGTGATAACATCGTTCTCCCGGGGCTTGTTTGATGACTCGAGATTTTTCCAACAAATCTGCAATTTAAGAAAATTATTAAAATTTTGAGAATATATTTGCGGAAATAAAACAAATAAACACGATTCTTTCAATGAAAGGAAAAATTCTGCTAGAAGTATGATACAGAATGTATTCGAAAGACCAAGTAACCAACCTTAATTGTTTAGCATGTAGATTTATGCCGAAATTTTTGATTCTTTTTGTATAAAATTGATTTCATAGCAAGTAAATTTAAAGTGGAATAGACAAAGAAAGTAATTTTTTTTAACAGTAATATTTTTGAAATTAATTATTTATTTCCAATGCACTTTTTATGAAATGTTTAAATTTTGTAGGATTATTATACTGTGATATTTTACAATGATTACAATGCTCTATGTCAGCTCCAGCAAGCCTTCCGCCAGCATTGAAATGAATTCGAATGAACTTCCCAAAACGAGATGAATTATTGTTCCGCACAGTTTTCGCATTTCCAAATGCTTCAAGTACCGGATTAGTGCGCACAATTTGATCTTCAATAGAAGAAGCATTTTCTCTCCTATTCTTCTCCGATTTGCTAAAACAGTTATGAATTTCAATTCCAAAATCCAACATTAGATTGGTTATTTGATATACTGATATAGTGATTAATAATAGCAAATGATAGAAAATCATTGTTGTTAACTACGTATTTCAAACTCCAATTTTGTTAAGCAAACAAAAAAGTTACTACTGACCACAATTTAACTGACACAGTTTGAGAACACTAATAATTAAAATTGTTAAATGTTCACGTACGTGTTACTATTCTCTGATTTCCACTAATAAATAAAATAATACTCTTAAATGCGCTTGAGACTGGGAAAAGCTTTGTTAATGAAATAAACAAATGAAGCAAATGACCGGTAAAAATTGATTTTAACTTTGAAACGAAACATACTTAGATGGATGTGGTGCACCAACGATTGCAAGATAGGCTATAACTTTTTTTGTATTTTCTGTTTTTCCTGCTCCTGATTCACCGGTGATTAACATTGACTGATTTCTGTGGTCTATAAGTTTTTTAATTTTTAGAAGTGACTGATGAATATTCAATCGTACGGATGCTACTGTAATTAAGATTTCTAAATTTGCTATCGGAGAAGCCATCTCAGTTTTTCTGATCACCACACATTTTCTTCATAAAAATCACTGCAACAATTAATGCTATTAGGGAAATAATTATTGAAATAATTTCTTCTCGAAAAACTTTGGAAAAAATTTCTTTTCTGTCTCTTATGTTTTTCGCTTATTTGAAAATTACCGTTAATCATATTTCTATAAGCTTCGTCAGAAACAGCAAATAGATGGGGCGGCATTTCAGTGCGCCGTTTTCCAATATACATTTCGCAAATATTTTCAGTATAGATTGGTAAACGTTTGTAGGGGTTAATGACCACACAGAATAGGCCTGAATAGGTCTGAAAAGTTTAGGCAAATAATTCTGAAAATTTTTATCAGAATTAAATTTTCATATTATTAGTTAGATTTTTTTCTAATGTTTTTTAAATTTTATGCTAAATCTTGCAATCTTGAGGCTTTAACATTTCAAATTAAGGTTTCTCTTAACTAAACTTTTTCATTTATTTTCTAATATAATGCCTATTAGCGCTAATTTTTAAGGTTATTGTTTTTTTTTTTTTTTAGCAGACTAACGTTTGCAATTTTGTAACTACATTGAGAAGCTAAACTATCTTATCCTTAACACAAAACTATAACAGCACTATCTTTTTTATTCAATTCCTTTGCTAGATTCAGCAATTTTTTTATTTATTCTAAAATTTTTTTAGGATTTTCCAACACCCAAGTTTTTATTTCGTTTTGCAATTGCTTTACTCCATTGCATTCCTCATCTATCGCAGAAAAACAGGATTTACTTAAACGCCAAAATGCATAGGGATGAATTATTAGCAAATACTTGTTAGAATTTGAGTGGTTTGCATTTAAAAATCTCAATTTTCTTTCTCTTTCTCTGTTTTTTCTTTTGTGTACAAATTCTATGAAAAACTTCAAAATTAAAGTTGATATTGCAAATATTTTACAATGCAAACAATCAAAAAAAAAATATTAGCAATAGTACCAGAAGAAACATTCAATTAAACAATTGGTAGTGTCTATATTTAAATTTTATGCACACAAATATTTCATCTCATTTTCTGATTAGCCACTTCCTACCTTCCTTTTACATATTTTGCATTTATTTCTTTCAATAAACAGTCATCATGTTAGGAATGCTTGACCTGTCGTCAAGTTTTTGCTTGAGCCAAAATCATCATTTGACTTGCTCAGCTTACATTAGCAAAAAATTGAAGTTGAAGAAGAAATGCTTAAAGCAAACAGATTGCACGAAAATAATCGTTTTGCATCAAACAATTCTTTTCGCCATTATCCGAGGTGCTTTAAAGTAATTATTGATTAATAATGGATGAAACTGCATCTAACAATTAATTGTTATAGCAAAAACTCTCTAGATTTTTGAACCATCAGCTTTCAACAACATTTATCAAATATGAAAAATGCGCGATTAATTATTATGTGGAAAAATATTTAATCTTCAACTGGAAGCAACAAAACCTTAAATCTGTATAGCAAGACCATCTATAAAATTTAAAACGCCATCCGCTTTTGCTGATAGCGTGACGATAAAATGCAAAAAACTATGCCTTAAAAGGCTTGAAAATTTATTCTTATTTTAACCCAGTCAGTTATTCATTTAACAGTCGAATCATTTCAAACTAAATACATTTATTCATTGATGCATTCACTCAAAAAGTTTAAATGCTTTGAAAATCGACTAATTCGTAACATTATTTTAATAAATGATAATCACAAAACCAACTTACATATATCATCATAGAGAGATATCGTTCACGTAAGTTATGAAGTACAGATGCGTCACTCAAGAATGTCAAATTCGCCATATCTTCCGTTTTCTCATATTTTGGTGGATTCATTTTTCGCGTTTCATCTTTTTTCAAAGTCTTCTGAAATTTGCTTTCAGAAGAAAATGCAATATCACTACAACATTTCCCTTTAATGAGAATATAAATTTGCAAATACAAATCTGAATTTTGCGAATTGCTCGATTTATGCAAAAAAAAAGCAAATAAATTTTCACCTAAAAAATTGAATCTGACTTTTGTCCTACTTTATTATTCATCTTTTATTATTTCGTAGTCAAAAAAAAAAATCATTCAATGGTATATGCAGGTGTCAAGTGATTAGAATTACACTTTGATGATCATGCATGGCAAAATTTGACATTATAAAAAGATTCAAATTTGAAAAACGAACGAATCCATTTACCTGAGTGTATATAAGAAAGTAAGCTATAGTATTGAATATTCTTAAAACTTATATTTTATTTGTTTTCTTCAATTTTGGATATTTTTAAATTTGCGAATTTCAAACCTCAACTCCTTTACAAGTGATAAGAGTAACAAAATCATCTTTTGTTGATTTAATCTCGGCAGCAATAAAACCTTCTTCTTCATCTGGCACCCAAACATTCTTCTTAGAATCAAATTTTTTTGATGTTATCAGAACCTAAAATTATGCTTCGTTAATTCATACATAGTACTGTCAGACATTTTAGATTTGCCTCAATGAAACACAAATTTCACTCAGTTAAATCAATAGGCATTTTACAGTAACAGTAATCACGGTAATATGTGAATCAGAAAACTGGAAATATAATTGAAATCTGAGAGATATAATGATGAAATGACGTCATAGGCGATGTCATCTTGTAAAATAAAATTAAATTTAATCTTCCGTGAACCTAGAATAATCTACCTGCTGTTGTCGTTGGCGTAAATACTGCCAGCCAGGATTGCTCTCGTATTCCGACATTGTGGTAGGTTGAAATTTCAATTTTCTAAATTATCTGCAACGAAGGTAAAAATATTGAGAATAGCTGACATTTACACTAACGAAATTAAGTTCTACAGATATGTCTTTCGCTTCTTGACTACAGCTCTGTAGTCAAGAAGCGAATTATTATTGTGAGCTCTGGTTGGGAAGTAATATGATTTATTTAAAATGGTATTAAAGTAGCTCATTCTTACAGAAATATCAGCCCACAATTTTATAAATGGTTAATTAATTTTCCACTAGACATTAAGAGAGTTATATTGAGTATTATTGTAATTGTTTATGCAGTCAGTAGATTGAATAAAACAGAAAGTAGATGTTAAATAGAGAATAACGAGTGTGAAACGATGACGACTCACGTCTGTTGACGTGAAGTGTTTAAATGATCTGCTAAATTATCACACAGTTATTCTAAAGTTTTATTAATTATGACATGGACTATGAATGAGATACTTTTTATGCTTAATCTTCTTTATTAATTTTTGTTTTAGAATCGATTGCTATCATAAAATTTAATTATATCAGTAAAAAATTAAATAGACAAGTCGTTAAGGTTTTGCTCGATTTCAGTCATTCTTCTAAATCATATCATCATTTACATTTGTGGCTCATTATTTGTTTGATTTTTTTTTTCATTTTTATGTTGTACTCATTTCGCTTTAAGATTTCATTTTTAAATGCATCACTTCCATTGTGATATGCTAAGAATAGTCTACAGTCTTTGACAATTTTTAATTGGTATAATATGCTCTTCCGGAAAACTTTACCAGGATAAGTCAGGAAAACGATGTTTGGAATCGTTATCAAGGAATAAAATAACCGCTTTTTTTTTTCATTCTTGATTTATTGCTATTAGTATTTAGGCGTTATTTAAACTGAAAACATTAAAATAGAAAAGCTAAACAAAGATTGGAAGGATATTTTGATTTGTTGGTGTCATTCATGAGGACCGAATAACACTGTAGTAGAATAAGAATTTTGTTAGTTTTAATTAGTGCAACTTGGTCTAAAGAACTCAAAACTTTCACAGATTATTTGAGAGCTCTCTATTTCTGGGTTTTTGAATTGAGTTCTTAATAATATAGGTATCTTACTTGTACCTACAGGTTCATCAAGTTATTGAAACAATACGATCACCTTAAATAAAAGTTTGTGGGAACAAAAATTTCCTGAAATTGTTTCAGAAATTTTTCCAGCACAAATATTTTGGTGATGTGCACTTTTCGCGAAGAAACAAAATGAAATCGGAAAAATATATTTTCGGCATTAAAGACAAATTAAATTTCTTGTCACAGTAATGGAATATTACTGATTTTCAAGAAAATGAATGGTTCGAAATAATTTTAATTAATTATAAAAAATTGAAGGGATTATTTCACCGAAATACCAATTTGACAAAGTAAAGAATTGTTCACGCTCAGTTATGAAGTGCTTTAAGGATCATCGCTGCCATTCCGGAATACCTGTAATCGCTCTTTCGATCTTAATCAACATGAACCATTTCTTTATATTCTCATTACTGTGAGATAAATGAGCAGTAGAAGAACATTTGTTGATAATCAGTTCATGCTATGATTTATTAAAATATTTAAGAAATGAAAAGTCCCGTAACTTTTTTTTAATTGAAACGAAAGTAGAAGCTAGCAGAGGATATCGTCAAATAATGAGACAGTGGGAAAGCATTTGGTAGTAATTTTAACTTCATCTCTCAATAAGAGATTTTTGTTAACATTGTTGAGTGAAAGATGACAAAACGTTGTCAGCGATGATTGTGTTTATTTTACAAAGCCAACAAAAAATTACACATGCATACACATACATATCTCTTAAATATGTTTCATTTTATAACGATCTGTAGCAGTGGTTTAATGATAACAATGATAACAGGCGACAGAAATGACATATTGATACTGATAACAGTGAAGAAAAATGTTGTCACAACTGGAACCCAATATTGATGATTATTACAATGACAATACAGATAACATTATTAGCAGCCAGTAACTCACTACTAATACTCGTGAATATCTTTAAAATGATAACGTGCAATCTGATTTCAGTGTCCGATAAGTGGTCCTAGACTCTGCATGGTATTGATAAAAGTAAGATAGTGATGACGATGATGATGATGATATACTGATAATATTTAAGGTTTAACACTGATCATACAATGACGATAAATATGATAATGTTAATAAGGTAACCTTATAAATGATAGTCATGGTCGCTTTTTATGGGATCTTTTCGCTTAATTGTTTTTAATAATGCAAGGAGAGTCAAATGACTTTTCTTTGATGATTTATTCCTTCAAAAGCTTACTGCTTTCAGTATACTTCAGTATTTTGAAAGTAATAACATCTCATTGTTCATTTAGAATATATTTAATCCTTTGCAACTGAAACAATCTCGATGAAAACACTCACTGACCAATCTTGAAATTATATAAGTTATCATTTTGATAAAATATTTAACTAGTAATAATACTGAACATTTTAATGCGCTTATGGTGTTAACTGTTAACTAAAATCAAACGTTTGTGCATCAGAAATACTTTCCATCACAAGTTTTCATTAAAAACACTTCAACATTTCATATTAATGATCTAGTAGTAATAGAAAAATGCTCGTGAGAGATGTTAACATGACATTATGTTGAGTGAATTATGTTGATTTTCGTCAAAAAATCATCCACAAAGTTTTTGTGACATTTTTTTTTTACCTGATGAAAGGAGTGCGAACTTATTTTCGATTCGCCTGACTTTTGGAATGTGTTTAAATCGGTAGATATTACATGCACTTTTCCTGTTCCTTTTATTATTTTAGAGATTTATTTGTTTAAATGAAGTGATTAATGTAAGTGATCGAATAATTTCTGAAAGTCATTTTATGTTTATTCCTCAGTATAAATTGAAAGCAATTCAAAATTCGTTTATCAATAGATTTTATCATTGGTTAGTTTTGGTCAGAGAGATTTGAAACTACATCGAAGAACTATTAAATTCTTGTTGTGTCATTTTGAATTCCTTGAATTAAAGTTCATGAAGAGATAAAAATAGATCCCTTATCCGGTGTAATCGTCATTTTATGACTTCCTGCAAGATCCCAAGGAAACCAGTTTCCCGTTATGAACAGAGGCAGCATTTCTTTTGTGCTTATCGCTCTGAATTTTCAAAAGTAGGTTTGCTAAAGGTTTTTAATAAACTATAATCAACAACTTACTTCAATTTTGAAAATGAGTAATTTCCCAAGCGGAAAATGAGATTTCTATAATTTCCAATAGTTCTATCCCTTCTCAGCTTACAACATTAAGTTGCATTAAACTCAAAACATCCTTCATCCTGTGCTTTCCTTATACTTCATTTGTTCCTTCCGCGACTACCTACATCAAATGCCATAAAGGAGGTTTGACCTCTCATGGAGAGTGGTGTGGTGGTTGGATGCGCGGTACTGAAGATGGTGACAGAGGGTTCGAGTCCTAGAAGTGTGTGAATGATGAAACAGATAGGGACATCTGTTACGTCGGTGATGACTGATTGATCCACCAAGACGGTGGACCTGACACACACTGTACCTTCATTAAATTAGCAAGAAGGGAGATTTACGGGTTGGGTTAATTTCTAGATTTGTGGGTTGTTTACGCGGTGAGAGACGGTGGTCGGTGCGTTCCTGTCGTACTGGTGATTTGAGGAATGTTTGTCAATTCTAGGGTCTTCCAGGTCCTGTTCCCCACTACGCTTCTTTCCTGACTAATCAATAATTATGAGTGACCGTAAACCTCTTCACTTGTAAATTTTAGCGATGTAATTAATAGTTTGATCGTGGGCTTCAGACTGCTTGATTTCTATGGTAAAGCGATCTAAGCCAGTGTTAGAAAATAGTCTGTAAACCTCACGATATTAAACAATCATCAGCAAACTGTAGGCCATTCATTACAGAAGCGTAGAAATCTGAATGACATAAATTTGTCGATGATAAGTTATGAGATAGGGAGAAAGGCAATAAACAGCGTCTGTCTGATCGGTTGGTTCGATTTTTGTTTAAATGCATTAAGTTGACATTTTTAGTGCAACAAATCTGTTCACTATAAAACTAGAACAATAACTGTTTACTTCTCGAATTGATACCTGAGATACTTGCGGCCTAATACAAATTTATTAGTTAGACAGCTAGAGAATAGGCAGCAACGGTTTCTAAAACTTTCAAATCGTAATCACATTACAATTCGGAGCACTTTGGACCGCCTAGAGTGGTATCATTGATGTTTATTCTCGTAAATGTTGAGTCGTTCAAATTGGGACATCGTACATTGGTCTTTTGAACCAGTACTATTACATTTCTGTTGTATGTGACGCCGGATTGTATTTAAATGAACACATTTTACATTGATGTATTTACATTACATTTATGTATTTCATTTCACACTGGCTGCATCATAATATCAAATTATCTCATGTAGAATTGAGAGGTAATAGTATTATTCACTGACCAATTGATATGAATAATTAAATTAGCAGGAGTAGTTAGAATTTTGCATACTTCAATTTTGTTGTTTCAACTAAGCATCACTCTATTATATGTCATTTTATTGCTCATTTCTTCTTTTATAATTTCTTATTAATAACGTATTCCTTGCTATGAATAGATAATAGACTGACAACAAGTCGTAAAAAGAATCAAAATAACGATAACTCATGCAACGATAATGTATTCGTCCAAGGAGGAGAAAAGAGTCTTTGAAATGAGGGTTTGGCCATTGCAGTGATCATGTGATCAGAAGTTGACAACTGAAAGTAATGATCGAAATTGATTCTCTTATATATGCACAAGAAGTTCTCAAATAACTCGATGTCAGGGTATAGTCTTGGACACTTAAAGCAAACTGGAAAGATAAAGTTTAACAGCTGACTTCCTCGAGAACTGAATCGTTGCTTTGGAGCGAATTTGATAGACTTTCTTATTTCTCTGAATACCTGCGAAGAGCCATACCATTTCAACAAATCAATGATAGCTGTAGTTCTTGCAGCTTGTGACAGAAGTACAATTCTTTCCTGCGACAAAAGCATATAATACAATTAGCATAATTACAATCGCAAACAGTCTCATTTTTCTCGCGTAAAATTTTGGATAATTTTAAACCTCATTTCAACATAATTTAGGCAATGGAGAAGATTATTTCACGTAATCCGAAATCTCACTATTATAATGTCTATTTCCCAAATCGATTTAAACGTAACTGCTATCGATTCAAAGTAATTTTTTGTTTTTTACAATGCGAGAGAGTGAAAAATGCTGAAAAGTTAAAAAAAAAATCCATTCATTCGAATTTTCACATAATGTTGAAGATTCTAAAGTTAATATTGCTGACTGTTTCAAGTCCAAGTTTGCAATTTTAGACCTCGAAAATACTGAATTTGATTCTGATTTCAAATCCTTTTAATTAAAGGGTGCAATTCTTATTAGTTATGATATTGAGTAATTTCAGAACGCTCTTCACAATCGCCTCTATCCCATTTCTCCATTTTTGTTTTCAACAATATTCATAGTGACTGCTTCACTTTTATATAGAAATCCACCAAAACAATATTTGATGATTATTTTGCCAGGAATACTTCATGAACAGACTGCAATTATTCTCAATATTTTATCGGTTAATACTATGATTTTAATTTTTTTTAATTTGATCTTAATTTGAACCTTTAAATTTCTGTAATTACTGAGCTAGAATTTCCAAAAATTTAAAGTGACAAAATAATTCCATAATTTAAAAATTTTTAAATTCATAGATCGCTTTTATGAGTACGTATTTACCAGTACTGCTGCTCAGATTTACCATAAAACATTTATATTTTGGTTACAAAAGATATCTATTCGAGGAAGAAGGAAACTATTCCCTTTCGACAAAATTGTGGTTTGTAAGTTCCTAAAACTGCTTTATTTTCCTTTGATACAAATTTTTTGTAACTTATTGCCTCATTTTGAAACTTTATTACGCAATTTATATTCATGCAAAATTTGCGGGACATTTCATTTTGCTAGCCAACTGGTTGACTCTGAATAATTTTTTTGTTGCTAGGAAATAACTTTTCAGATATTTCATCATTTATTCAATAAATTATCACCACAACTGTATTCGTGTGAAGGATTACTGCCAACTTTACCGCTTCCATCGCTTAAAGGTACGATCGCCAGGTACCTTAACAGTGTGGAACCTTTGCTGAGTTCTGTGAGTTTCTTTTCGATTTGTTGAGTATTTCATTACTTTTTAACTCATTTTTAAGAAACATTCTGATTGTGGAGACCTTGAAAGATGGCTTTTAATAGCCTCAGTGATTGTGGATATCTAATTGAGATTTTTTCTTGTTACAACTTTTTCTACTTATTCATTTTCTCCTCATTTCGAAATTTTTCATCAGGCAATTTTTTCATGTATTTTAATTCAACAGTAATTTTGAAACTAAACATGAATTTAAAATAAGTGGTTTCATTTTGCATTAAGTTCAAACGATTAAGTAGAAAAACTGTACCAAAGAAGAAAAAATATTTAGTATTCTTTTATGCTCCATACATAACAAGTAGTTATTTTTTTTAAAAAATTTCTTTTAAATTAAAAACAATTTATTTCTTCAATTTATTAGAAATTTAACAATGCATAAGCTTTAATTATGAACTCTCAATTCAATTTTTTCATAGGAAGAATTTACGAATGTAAAGAACATGGCTGAAAATTTTTTAAAAAACGAAGGATGGAAACTTCAAGGATTAGCATGGCTCTATTGGTGCTTTGTTGACAATTATGTAAATTAATTGCATATATATGTATAAATAAATGTATAATAATTGGAATTAAGGAAAGAAACAAAACAGATTATTTACCAGAATGAAAGCAAATAATATATTCATTAGAGATTAAAGTAAGGCTAGGCGAAATTCATATAAAAATCAAACATCATTGAGATGCTTCAATTAGAAAAGCCAGAAAATGATCAGTTTTACAGGTCACTAGCTTCTGGGAGAAATTTGCTTACCACTATTCAAGAAAAGGTATTCTGATAAATAGCAGTGTTGCGCATCTTGTTAGTTCTTTTGTTAATCAATTTGTGGAAAAGAAAAGAAAAAGGTTGTCCTCTCAGTTCACACAAAATAAGTTTCAACAAAGTAAAATAGAAACTTCAATCACAAATTTATCGATATCATAGGACTTATGCACATTAATTCTAAAATTATAACGAATACCACAACGATAAATTATTTAAGGATGTCTTCGTCAATGTACCTGCGAATCAGGCTGTTCGAGCAGCCCATGTGGTGCTACTGGAAACATTAAGCATGCTATCGATTGATCAGGAATCTCTACAACCTGTAAGATATTCTCATTTATTTTATTGCAGCAGTTTTAAAAATGATTTCTTTAAAAATACTTCTTCAATAAGAAAATTATTCTGCTGAAGATTAGAGAAAAGGAAAAATGAGAGCGAAAAAGATGAAAAAGCGTAACTATTAATACTTCATTTCTTTTCATCAAAAATATTATCTTTATTTCATGTTAGGGCCTTGACGCAAAGATGAATTGTGAGGAACAGATTTAGTTTTAAATTTAACATTTATTAATCATAAAAAGTTAGAAATTTTTGTGACGAAGTCAGTGAAATGGTTCCATACAAAGATTACTGCGATGAAAATTGATAGCCAAAACTTAAAATCGATTTTAAATACTGCTAGAAGATGGTCTAGATTATAGCTAATCACATCAAAACAACTTAATGATTTGTCATTCTTAATATCTTAATATTAACAGAGTATTTAGAATGTTTATTTCCTGCCATCACATTTTCTTCTGACTTTATTATCAATCTGTTTTGATGAGAAATGCAGATAAATTAAGAAATTACAGGTAGGTAAGCAGCGTTGTATGACTTTAACCGAATCGGTTTCTTTTAAGTGAACAAAACATAGTTTTAGACGCAATTTTGTTTGTTTATTCATTAAAAGTCTAAAAGTTTTATAGATAGCTGGCGGAGTCATTAGTTTATCACACCTTTGGAAGTGCTATGCAACAACAAGAGTACCGGGAGAGATTATGGGTAATGCTTTATGCTTATTATTTAAAATAATTAGCACTCAAACTGTAAGATTTTTGCTTTTGATCTCTATCCAACTTTTATAGAAATTTGGGCAAGTTGTTCATACCTGTCACTTATTTCAGATCATTTGGAAGTGTACTGTGGAACTTCACGTCATATCGTTGTTTATTATCGAGGTTGCATTTATAAACTGAATGTTTTTGATGAAAATGGTCGTATTTTTGATTTGAAAGAACTTACTGAGTGAGTCAAATTACATATAATGTTTATACAAATCCTAAATTACTCGACGTAGAAATTTAATTTTAAAAAAATTTTTCTGCTTCTAATTAATTTCTATTTTAATTGATTGATTGACACAGAGAGTTTCACTTTGCGTGTTGATTAAGCATACTGCTACACTTCATTTAAGAATATTTTCGGAATTGCTGACTCGCAAGGAATGCATTGGAGAAATAGAAGGACGAATCGCGGCGTTGACGACTGACTATCGAAATCAATGGTGTTTGAATCGTCGTCGGTTTTTTCTAGAAAATGCCACAAATCGAGCTTCTTTGGCACTGATAGAATCCGCTATTTTCTATTTAATCCTTGATGAATCTAATTACAACAGTGATCCGGTAGGAATTTTACTCAAAATGTATGTTTATTTAGTGTGCTCACATTTATGTAAAGATTTATTTACTATAGGAAGAGCTCGAAATTTTCTTCAAAAATATGTTAACTGGTGATGGAAGGAATCGTTGGGCAGACAAATCATTAAATTATGTCATTTCTAATAATGGAAGAGTTAGTTATCCTTATTCTTATTTAAAAATTCAGCAATGAGAAAGGGAAGTGTGATAAGTTCACAACCGCTACAGTATGTGAAAGCATTGAGTAAATCTTTTCTGTACTTTTTGATAAATGCGTTGGTGAGAAAGAATGACAGTAAGACTGAACATATAAATATAATCTATTCGTTTCACTATTACTTTTTAGGGTGGTGGAACAACAGAGCACTCAGTAGCCGATGGAGCAGAATTTGCTTACATTTTTGAAAATTATCTTTCCTCAGATTTCAACGCCTTTCGTTAAGTTTCATCTTTTTACATAAGCAATTTCATCCCTTTGTTCTGTTTGTCCTTCTCACTCTTTACTCTTTTATTTTGTCATTAAGTTTATGAAGCACAATTTACAGGTATCCGAAAGAAGTAGAGGAGATAGTACGTCCCAACAATCTTTCTTCAACGGAAAAATATGCTGTTCGATTGAATTTTGATATTAACGAGCAGGTAAAGGCTTTGAACAGTTTTGAAAATAAAAAGCCACTCTCGATCTTTATACTATCAATTATGAGAATATCACTGATAGCTTTGCCATATGTTTAGTTTCTCTTGAGATATTAAAATAGAATGTATTAAAATTTATTAAAATAGAATGCATTAAACATTAAATATGAAAGAACTCTGCTCTCGTCTTTCCCGATATTTTTAGTGCATAATTCTCAAATTTAAAATATCATTTAGATGAAGGCAGAGATCAACCGTTGTTATGCTAGTTACCAGGAACAAATTAATGATGTCGACGTTGCCTGTCTTGTTTTCCGTGATTTTGGTAAAGGCTTTATCAAAAAAGTTGGCATTTCACCTGATGCATTTATTCAAATGGCTATACAATTAGCAAGCTTCAAAGTTGGTTTTCTTAGTAATTACTACTAACAGTGAAAGAACTAGCTGATTACAGTAAGAGTTCATCATCTTTTCCTTGATTGTTTAAAGATTTATCGTTTAAAACCCAATAATTATGATAAGTACATTTTTAAAAAAAAAATTTCGGCACGTTATTTCAGGATCAAAACAAATTTTGTCTGACCTATGAATCAATATCAGCAAGATTTTACGCAAACTCAAGAACAGAAACATTACGTCCTGTAACAAAAGAATCGTGTGCATTTGTTAAGTCAATGATCAGCACAGAGAGCAACGTAAGCTCCCACTTAAACTTGAAGTTGTTTTAACATATATACTTGCACAATGATTTCAGAGCGAAGAGCGTCTCAAATTATTGAAGACAGCAGCTAAAGCCCATGTATTTCACAGTAAGGAATGCTTAACTGGAAGTGGTGTTGATCGACATTTATTTGTTCTTTATATTTTAAGTAAGATGACTGGCATAAACAGTTCATTGTTGGACTACTATATAACTCAACCTTGGGAACTCAGTACCAGTCAGGTAATATCTAATTCTGAATTAGAAAAGAGTAACATTCCTGAGCATTCTCTCATTAAATCATTAAGACCAAAAAATACACAAATCATATGTTGAAAACTGTTCTCCAGTCTGAAGTATATCAAAAAAAAAATTGTACATAAGCTGATTCTCATACTGATCAAATCAAATGTCATTTTATTCTTAAAATTAAAATCATCACTATAGACACCGAACGTGACACGCCAAATAAATGAAGATGAGTATCCCAACCTCTCTTGGTTTGGCGGTGGGTTCCAGGCTACCTGTAAAAGTGGATATGGTATCAGTTATCGTTTCGCTGGCAATCATTCAATATGTATAAACATCGCTTCTTATAAATCTGCCAAAAATACGGTTCGTTCATCTCTTTAATCAAATTACTCTAACGATTGCTGTAACTCTAAATCATTAAAATGTCCTAAAAGTTCGAATTTCCTGCGAGCTAAATCCGTTTTCAGCTCCTTAATTTTTTCGACTTCACTTCTTATCCGTTATTTCTCAACACAGCTGTACAAGCGCATGCACGTTCTATGGCCTTGAAGACCTTATACGAAGTAGAAATGAACCAAACACAAGACTCCCTTTGGAATAATCCTGGCCCTTCACGTGACACGAAACAGAATGTCAAATCATAATCCTCTGAAGAATTTCACTGCAATACCATCAATTATAATTTCATATATAAAGAAGTAATGCTGAACTATCTCGGTATCGTCCACTGCAATGATTTTTTTGTTTCTGTGTATGTTGCAGGATTCACACCGACTTAGACAACATTTGATGCAGTCAATGCAAGACATTTCTGCAATGTTCAGAACTTAAATATCCTAAATTCTCTAATGTCTACGTTTACTTCATGCGTATTCCAGATATAAAAGGAAATAAAATTAATAAAATTTCTTGAAAAGAGCACAGTTACACAGCACCAACAACAATAAACGCGTGCTGTCAAGATATTTTAATTACAAAGCAGAAATGTGTATACCAGAAATACTTCTGAAACTGAATAGTAGTATATTTATCGCCGTTCGTATAATACTGACGACAATAAAGGACACGGCAGTATTCGCCATTTCGAAGAAGTAGACATTAGAGTAAGTGTACTCTCCGAAATATTACTTTACCCGAAATTTAAGTCACTTAAATTTTTGGAATTTAAAAGGCTAAAAAGAAATAAGATGAAAAACAGTTGGGTAATAAATTGAAGCATTAAATCAACAATTAAGTGTCTAACTGACGAGAAATTATACCCAGAAACTCTACAAATATCATAACACATAGCAAATTACAGTCTGTTCTCAAAATTAGTAAAAAGAGATATATCTACCAGCAAAACGGACTGTAAAGAATTTCACGTAAAACGATCCTATACATTTCGATCCATAAAAACTGGAATATAAGGAACATTCCACCATTACATATGAATATCAATTCTGAATTCTTGCGTTAAGAGAGCATTTGGTTTTCGAATAATTAAGGTTTGCGCATCGCGATCATGCGTATAATCAGCAGTTTCTGGATTCCAGTCTAAAGAGGAGTTAAAAAGGAGCGATATTGCAATGAAAATAAATTAAGCTTCAACCAACTACTACTAATTTTCAACTTGATAATATAAAAAAAAATAAAAATGGATACCATCTAAATAAATGTGAATGTTCGTTGGATAGTAGCGAACACCTCGTATTATCATCTTTTCTATAATAGCATCACTTTCTAATTTTCCTCCTTTATCCAAATTCTTCGATGAAATTGAATGTAACTGATCACCCTCTTTCTTGTAGATAAAACCCCAGTAGAAATACTGGCCATTTTTATAATCAAATGTCTCTCCATCATCCATATAAATTGTTCCATTTGCATAATCACCCTACAAAATTTTTGTAAGCAATCAAAATATAAAACACAAATATTCATACAATGAAACGCTTCACGAGATTTAAGATAATATACATATGAATTTATATTGAAAATGAATGAACTGCTTTCCTTACCTTCGAGAACATTGCAGAAGTTTTGTGAAAGATTACATTTCTAAGTATCGCCGTTAAAAAGCTTTTAAAAGAAAAGATTGGGATTCTACAGGATGAAAATATTACAGCAAAAGAACTTGCTTGCGAAACACATACACGCAAATTTGATTAAAAAGTTACATCAGAATTGATTGCAATATACAAAGTAACGGGATCCTGAAACATCAATGATGAAGCACGTCGTACTCTTTCCCATGTTGGAATGATAGTACCACCTCGCTGGAATAATGGTATTATATCGAGTGGTGTATCTACGTAAACAGCACCAGGAGCTAAACGACCCTGAAGAAAAGAAGTCATCAAACTTAACATTAAAATGGATTTGAAATTTACAAAAACCTTCTTATTATATTATCATTATAGTCTTTAATTATGGATAAGAATTCTTCCTCCTTTTTTGCTTTTACATGAACTATAATAATAAAGGTTGTAGAAAAATGATAGAAAAAGGTATCACACCTTGTGATCATGCCATCCATACCATACAACGTTTTTTTTACCCGGCAAATACAATGAGACGGACTGAACATCTGGATCCATCACAGGACGCACAAGTAAGCCGGGACCTAATAACCACTCACGTTCCTCATCAAATGCATCTTCATCGTCCGGAAATTCGCTCCATAATGGTCTCATTGGTGGTTTTCCGCTAAGAGTATGTTCGTAAAACAAAGTGTACCTATAATACCATTAAAATATCAGACTACATATTAAAAAAGTCAATAGATGTACAGAAGAGTTGTTATTAAAATATATAATGGAATGCAACAGTAATTCCAGATAAGATAAAGCCACTTTTCAAAAGCGCTATCCGTAATATTCGTACAGTAAAATAAGATAAAATAACATCAAAAATCCAGAAGGAATAATTCAGTACAAAAGATGAAGGATTTTGGTATTCTAGTTAGGGTTCTGCAGTTTTTAATTTCACTATCAATAAAAAACAAAGTCTTTTTCAGCATGACTCAAAAACTTACCAGTAAGGCAAGAATGAATAACGAGTTCGAATCGCTTGCCGGATTAGTAATTTTGTGCTATCTGAGAACAACCATGGCTCTCTGCGTTTCGTGTCAATATGAGAATGAGATCTAAAAAATGGCTGGAAGGCGGCAACCTGAAAAAAGATTTATACATGTTTCGGATCGCAATAATTCATTTGAGGCTATACGAAATAACATATATTAAACTCAATATAAACATAATATTTAAATCACGAATTCATTTTTTGGAATTTATGCAATCCATTCCATAGCCAAAACAATAAGCCAAACATAATAATAAATTAACGAAAGTATTACTTGATACCAACGTATTAAAAGTTGCTCATCTGGATTGCCAAAGAAACCACCAACGTCTGCACCAACAAGTGGTATACCAGAAACGGATAATGAAAGTAGCATTGGTACGGTTATCTTTAGTTGCTCCCAGCTTGCCGTATTATCACCAGTCCATACTGCTGTTGTACGCTGACTACCAGCAAAAAATGACCTGGTCAATACAAACGGTCGTTTGCGACCATTTGTACGTGCCAAATGACCGAGGTAAGTTGACGAATGCTACAAAAACGTTAAAATTAGATTGATTAGTATCCTGTTACATTCAAACACATTGTATTAAGAACTTTATGATATTAAAGGAATATTTTAAGTATACAAATATTTGAAGAGATATCTTCTACTAAAATAGAGTTAAAATAGCAGTGCTTGTTAAATGTGTAACTGACATGATAAAAACCATAAATGTTGTGAACATCACGATGCTCCCAACCACCAAAATGTCTAGCATCTTTGTGCATTGTTATTTCTGGACCACTGAATACAGATGGCTCATTCATATCATTCCATGTAAATAGATCTTCTGTTGAACCAACATACTGATCAAAAGCGAATTTGTTTGCCCAAAAATTACGAACTGCTGGATTTAGAAAGTCGAGATATGCCGATGCACCTGGCCAACAATGTCCTTCGTAATCTTCACCATCGCTTTTCTAAATTAATAGCAGAAAAATATATATATTAAGAGAGCAAAATAAATCTGAGATTCTTGAAAAAATATAAAACAAAAAAATTGCGGTGAAAACAACAGAAAATAGGTATGAACTCATTGAAAATGCAAGTAAATAATCCAAAAAAAACCAAATAGAACCAATTATAAATTCAACCTAATGCAACTTTTCTAATATTCAAAAATAAGGAATCTGCAAGAAACTGCATAACACACCTTTACAAAATAATCCAGTTCTTTCGCTTCTTTATATACATGATAATTATCATCTTTTTTTATGTGAGGATCAATGATTGTAATCATTTTACGCCCCTGAAGACATATACGAAAAAATTACGATTATGTGAAAAAAGAGAACAAAATTGTAATGAGAGAAGTTCTTTATTTCAGAATTTGAATCAAAATCCAAAAAATTTTTAGTAATTATTTAAAAAACTTACTTTTGCTACTAAGTTATCGATCATTTCCTTTGGTTTTGAAAATTTATTGGGATCCCATGTGAAGTATCGTTTCGCATCAGTATGTTCAATATCAAGCCAAATAGCATCTAACGGTATGTCATGTTTGTCAAAATTCGTATGTACATCACGAACATCGCCCTCGTCATTGTAATTCCACCTGCACTGATGGTAAGCCAGTGCAAAGAGCTGCAGAAACATTACAGAATGAGGAAAATTTGAAAATATTTCATTCTTGTAATTTTAAGAAAATATGGCTAAATTAAACATTAAAAATTACTGCATTAGTGAATATCGGTCTGTGGGAAATTTACGGAGTTTTACAACAAAATAACGAATACATACGGGTGGCAATGGATAAACTCCAGTTAGCCCAGAATTTTGCCTAAATACATCATTAGCTTTTGGACCCAACATCAAAAAGAAATCAATAAGGCCAGATTCCGACATGAAGTGAACGTCGATCTGTGGCAAATCTACGGAGTTCTTGAATTTCTCAACAATTGAACGAAGAATACTCTGAAATTGATGGATAAAATTGTTTGAATCATTTGAATAACTGCTGTATTAAAAAGTTGTGAAATCATTGGTAGGTTTGAACTAGAAATTTCTAAAAAATCTTTGGTAACTTTTGATACGTTTGACACAGAAAAAAGTTTCACAAAAACACTCACAGGTAACAATCTTGCTTGAACTCAAGAACAAAATGAAAATAAGGACGGAACATACCTTATCTGCGGTTGAAGAATTAATATCTACCCATGTTTCGGCAGCATTTAACCAAAGCATGCCTAATGAGTGCTCCTTGTTATGGGCTAACAGAAAGGGTACTGCACCATAGAGAGACATGAGTTCATTAATTTCAAATTCAAAAACATCCAAATTATATAGTCGATAAGGATCTATCGAGCTAAAAATCACTTTCGAAAGAAAAGAATTAGTAATTAAAAGCCACAATCTAACGTTTTACTACTATAATTAAAAAAATCCCAATTAACTTGTTGCTGGTAAATTAATGATATCTTCTAAAGTTATGTAATTTCAGTCGACCAAAATAGAACTAATAAAAATGTTAATGTTCCAAAATACCCAAATGTTATGGCAATTCTCACGTTGTAGATCTCAGTGCAAAACTGTCTGCGTGTTCAGGTAAACCATATATGAATTTATAACCAATAAAAGATAAATCAACGCCAACAGAACTTGATCCTGGAGAGATTTAAGACGAAATTAATGGAAATGAACAGAATCTACAAAAAAAGAATACATATCTAAGCCAATAAAGCAGCAGGATAAAAGTTACCATACGGTTTAGAATCGTGATGATTTT